AATGGGGAGGAGGCCCCGGGGCTGACCCTTCACTCGACCGCATGCTCAGCAGCAGCTCCTCCATGTCCAGCCTCAACTCCTCCACGGTGAGGGAGTGAGGGAGAGGGGCCTGAGATGAGTGGGGGATGCCTCCCTCCGCCATACCCCGACCCGTAGCCCCTGCATCACCCCACCTTTTCCCAGACCAGACACTCCAGGCCCCAGGCAAACTTCCTAGTTATACCCCTCCATGCTCTCCCCATCTGAACCCTCCGCGCTACCCGCCCCCAGCCTCGACGTGAGCCACCGCAGCCCGCCCTGACCTCTCCACCCTCCGCCCGCAGCTGAGCGGCAGCCAAATGAGCCTGTCCGGGGAGGCGGAGGCGGGCGCGGTGCAGGTGCGCGGCTCCGTGCACTTTGCGCTGCGCTACGAGGCGGGAGCCGCCGAGCTGCGCGTGCACGTGATCCAGTGCCAGGGCCTGGCAACCGCCCGTCGCCGCCGGTTGGACCCGTGAGTTCCCAACCCGGGCGAGGCGGGGGGGGGGGGGCGGTGAGGGAGCGGCCCTCACTGCCCAGCCTCACTGCTTTTCCTCCTCAGTTTCCTCATCTTCAAAATGGGAATGACGTTCTTGGGCGGCATGGGGGTTGGGTGAGATAACTCCTTATAAAGCGCTGCACAAAGCCTGGCACGTGAAGCTGTGTTCCGGCCTGTGGCCGGGGAAGCCCCGCGACAGGGGAATAGGCGCTGGAAGGGCCTCCCTTTACCTCCAATGCTCACCTCCCCCTCCCCAGCTATGTCAAAAGCTACCTCCTCCCGGACAAGCAGAGCAAGCGGAAAACATCGGTGAAGAAACGGAACCTGAATCCGGTCTTCAACGAGACTCTCCGGGTGAGGCTGCGACGACCGAGAGGGCCCCCATTAATGAACCGGGCACCTCTTCCTGCAGGGGGACGGGTGGCAGGGACAGCATGGTATCGTCATTGCCTTCTGCGGAAGGAACGGCAGGGAGGCCCTAGCATAAACGTGCTCTCCAGCGTATCAGTCTAGAGATGGGCATGGCGCTAGTCCAGACCTCATTAATGTCCTCTGGGGCTCCCCAGGATCCCTTCCTGAGAGGAGTGTGGTAGGAGAAGCCCCAGCTAACACTCCCACAGCACTGGAAGCCAGGGCCATCGACGCTGCTCCATTAAGGCGCCCCTCCTGTCCGCAGTACTCTGTCACGCAGGCCGAGCTCCAGGACCGCGTGCTGAGTCTGTCGGTGTGGCACCGCGAAAGCCTGGGTCGCAACATTTTCCTGGGCGAAGTCGAAGTGCCTCTGGACACGTGGGACTGGGACTCCGAGCCCACCTGGCTCCCCCTGCGGCCCCGGGTGAGCAGCTGACCCGCATGGGGGTACCCGCGGCACAAAACTGACTTTACTACACTGGGCTTTCCCTCTCAGCCTGTCTTCTGCAAAGCCTCCTTCAGCCTCGAAACCTTACGGCCCCATGCGAAGCTCTGAGCCCGGACGGCAGGTTCCGTGGGGGTGCTCAGATTCCCCAGGTGGTTCCCAAGGGAACTGCCCCGACAGACCCCCGCGGGGATAGGCAGGCCCGGTGGGTGTTTGGAGACTCCGCCCTCTATGGCCGTTTTCCCTAGGACCCTGTCCCCGCCCCCTTGACAAGCCCGCCTCCCGCAGGTCTCGCCCTCTCCCGACGACCTTCCCAGCCGCGGGTTGCTTTCTCTGTCTCTCAAGTACGTCCCCGCCGGTTCCGAGGGTGAGTGACCATCCGCGAGAAGCCAAGCTGAACCGGCCCTGGGAGGCAGGGAATCCCTGCCCCACAAGGGTAGGGGGGACTCTGTCCGTGGGGCTGGACCTCAGCCGAGCCTCTCCGCAGGCGCAGGACTACCCCCGACTGGGGAGCTGCACTTCTGGGTGAAGGAAGCTCAGGACCTCGTGCCTCTGCGCTCAGGATCCCTGGATACTTACATCCAATGGTGAGGAGCATCGGGACCTCCCGTTTGTCTGCCTTTCTACTAAAGTGGAGCTCACTGCCTCCAACAGATTCCTTCTAGTCACTCACTTTGATTCTGCAATATGAGCACAGCCTCAGCTTTGTCTGGGGACAGCCTGAGCAAAGGCCTGGAGTCAGGAGAGTTGAGGACGACTTTGAAGAGCTGCATTTCAGTGACTGGCACCTAGAGGAGTTGTTGGAGAGCTGAGGCTGAGACCTGGGAGGTCTCAGGGGCCCTTCAATGGAAGACCTGGAAGGCCAGGCTGTGGGGCTTGGCGCTGAACTTGCAGTTCAGTGGTTTTCTTTGTTGTTTGTTTGTTTGTTTTTGTTTTGGGCGGGGAGGTAAATAGGTTTATTTATTTACTTATTTATTTTGTTAGAGGTACTGGGGATTGAACCCAGGACCTCACGCGTACCACGCACTCTACCACTGAGCTATACCCCCCACCCCGTAGTTTTCAAAGTAAGCTTCCAGGGAACTCAAGGGGTGCCTCCAGGTGCGGCCCCACCCTCAGAGTTAAATGGAGGTAGGCTGATGAGATTCTGAGTCCTCAGCCCTGATTAAACCAGAGACATTGTTTTTCTTTTAGGTTTTGTATTTCTGAGCAATATTTTGTCTTACAGAAGGGGCTCCAAGGCTTTAAGAAGTTTGAAAACTACTTCTGGGGGGCCACGAAGTTATTAAGCTAAGGAATAGCAGAATTGCATTTCAGAGACTTCACTCTGGGGCCCTGTGAATAGGAGCTATAACTTTCAAAGGCAGGAGATCTAAGAGGAGGCTAGTACAAAGGTCCCAGGGTAGCAAGGGTTTGAGGCCAGTTCTCAGACAGGAGCCAGAGGACATGGACATTGTGAGGGCATATGGGTAGGACTCATTGGTTGGTTGGTTACTGGTTGGTTCTGGGGAGTGTGAGGGGGTGGCCACTTGATGCCAGCCCACCTCCCCCACAGCTCAGTGCTGCCTGATGACAGCCGGGCCAGCCGCCAGCGGACAAGGGTTGTGCGACGCAACCTCAGCCCCGTATTCAATCACACCATGGTTTACGATGGCTTCGGGCCTGCTGACCTGCGCCAGGCCTGTGCTGAGCTCTCCCTCTGGGACCATGGGGCCCTGGCCAGTCACCAGCTGGGGGGCATACGCCTCAGCCTGGGCACCGGTGAGTGGGGCAGATCCCTGGGGGAAGATGACACTAGGAGGCAGGGGCTTAACTCTTGGCCTTGGGCACTTCTCTGCCCTTTCCTAAGCTTTGGTGTCCACTGAGAACTGGGGGTGATAGTGCACAATCTGGACCAGGCAGGTGTTCACTGGGACTGGGGGTGGCCAGAGTGACCTTGCCTTCCACCCCTGCCTGTCCACATCTAGGCAGCAGCTATGGGCTCCAGGTGCCCTGGATGGACTCCACATCTGAGGAGAAGCAGCTATGGGAGACCCTCCTGGAGCGGCCATGTGAGTGGGTGGACGGCCTTCTGCCCCTCAGAACCAACCTGGCCCCCAGGACATAGCTGCCCTACAAGCCCTACAACACCCCTCTTTCTGGACCCCCATCTCAGAGCCTGCCCATGGCTAAAGTCAATAAATTCTGTTCTAAGAAACAAGGGGCTGATGTCTGCTTGGGGGCAGGAAAGAGTCAGGGAAGTGAAGGGTGCCAGATGAAGGAATTTTAGACTCAGACATAAAGACCTTAAGGAACTAATTCCAAGACCCATACTTCAGAAATTGCCAAGGTCCACTCCAGGGGTACCAAAGTGTTCTGTTTCATAGTCTTGCCTGGTGGTACTCAGTGAGCTTGGGGTGTCTCTGTTGTTGGTTCCTCCCACTAAGGTTAGGCCTGGGCACTACCCAGCCTCCCACCCACCTGGCCTCTTCCAGTTGCCCCTGGGTCCTGGGGCAGGTATATCAGAAGCCTCTTGTGTTTTCTTCATTCATCCATCCTTGGGTCTGGCCCCTGATGTCCTCATTCAGCCTCCTAGGGGCTAGGGGGAACTGGCGTGGATCTTGCTCGCTGTGCCAAGATGGCTCTCCAGATGCGGCATACCATCCCTCCCCTGAGGGGTACCAGGCTCAATGTGACTCAGCCAGAAGAAGGCCCTGGGCTCTCTCTGGTACCCACTGTCTGCCTAATGACCCCTCTATCCCCAAGGGACCCTGGTATCCCTGTAGTTTCCAGAGAGGAACCCAGGCAGGCCTGTAACTAGGGGTTGGGGAGGGTGTCAGGATCTGGCCAGCATGAGGCCATATGTGTAGGTTATCCCTGAGGGCCCAAGACATACCTGATGCGTGTGTAGATGAGGTCATCTCTAGTGGCACAGGTAAGTAGCGCATGGAGGGTGAAGCTGTGGTTCAGTAGCTGGTTGTGTACATAGAAACAGGGAGAGGTAAAATCAGAGAAAGATGGGTCCAGAGACTCAGGAACTAGCTCTGTTCTACTACCAACATGCTAAGACAGATCACACTCCTTTCTGGCTCAGTTTTCTCATCTGTACAATGGCTGGGGTATGCTAAGTGCTTATTCAGTACTGAGATGCTCTGTGTCAGAGGGAGAAAGTGAGAACAGCTCAAAGATGGGCAAAGATGAAGTCTTGGTTGGTGGGGGTCAGGTATAGCCAGCATTCTCCCCCTCACCATCTGGATGGTGCCTGAATCCACCTTCAGTTCTTGTAGCCACTGCACCAGGCCCTGGTCCACTGTGAGAGCAGCTGTCAAGGAGAAGCCAGGTGGTGAACCCCAGGGTGCCTTTGTCAGAAGCTGCCTCAACCCACCGTTAGCATTCTCCAGCCAGGTCTCACTCACCTGGGGGCTCTGAGGTCAGAGCACAGGTCCTGGCCTCCCCACTGATCCGCTGTAGGGCTTGTTGCACCAGGGCCTGGCACTCCCGTTCCTTCTCAGCCAGGACATCTCGAAGCCTGTTGGAAGGCGGAAGGCAGTAGAATGCAGGGGGAGTAGGAGTGAAGCTCATTCAGAGGCTGTGGGTGAGTCCCAGGAGCTGTACCTGTCAGTCTCTGCTCGCAAGAGGCCCAGCTGCACCATCAGAGGTGGGGTGTCCTGCTTGGGTTCCCCAGGGCTCTGCTGGTCTGGGGTCTCTTGCTGCTTCGGCTGGGACTCCTCTTCTTTACGGGACTCCTCGGACCTCAGTGGGACTCCCTCCTTCTCCGCCTCTGCCAATCCAAGTGGGGTGAGCTCAGGCAGGGCGAGAACACCCATTTAGGACCCCCAGACATTGGCAGAGGGCATGGAGCTCTGGGTATGGGCCAGGCAGTATCAGTTTAGGAGATATCCATTTGGTCACATGCCAACCCCACCTCCCTTGGCACTGGGTCAAGCTAGGCTCCCACTGTCCACCCCTATTTGTGTTCACCGTCCCCCAAGGAACACAGCCTAGCTCTCGGGCAAGCAGGCAGGCTCCACTCCTCCACCTACCTGGGGCCAGCACAGCCAGGGCTGCCCGTACAGCCCGACTGAGCAGGGAGTCCAGCACGAACATCCAGTGTGGGCGAATCTGGCGCCTGCGGAGGATCTGCTTCACCTGGAGTGGGAGAAAGAGTGCAGCTGAGGCTGCTGAGCTTCCAATAGAGGTAGGGCTTCTGTCGGAGGCAAGTGGGGTGGGCAGACCCGGAGTAGAAAGAGGGGCTGGGAAGTTAAGGCCGGGCAGATATCCCTTTTCCGATGGCTCTACCTTCATAGGGAAGACATGGAATCATGCAACATCAAGTCCTTACATATTCTCAAGCACTGGGAGTTCACTACCTCTTATTGAGCAGCCCTAACTGTGAGAAAACGCACTCACCGCCTCCGGGAAGGCGAAGAGTGGTCCTTGCAGAAGCTCAGGCCCAAAGCCCTGGGCCTGAAGCTGCTCTTGCAGCGCCCGCAGCTCCTGGGCCAGCTGCCGGCGGTTGGGAGTGTGGATGTGCGCCCCGAGGCAGCGCAGTAGCTGTTCCACATAATTCCTTTCCAGACAGGGACCCTGAGAAGGAAGAGACGGGTCATCAGCGGATATTCCCACCTGAGCCAAGAGCGATGCTGTTGGAAAGGTGGGCGGGAGGCCATCAGCAGGAGTCCTGTCGGTGCTCGACCAGCAGGGGGCGCTGGGGCGAGCCGCCCACCTGTTCCTGCTCCAGACTCAGAATCTCCGCCAGCGCCGGCAGCTCCTGCTCCAGCACAGTGACCAGCATGGCCCGGCGTTTGCTTTCTTGGTGCAGGAGGCTCACTCCTGAACTCTCCTCAGGGGACGCGGGCTCCTCGACCGCAGACTCCTGGGGCACCCTGATTGCAGTAAAGAGCGGATGATGGAGGGCAGGCAGCAACCCTGTCCAGCCGTCTCCACCCCCCGAATTTGAATCCTGGCTTTTATTTTGATGCCCACCTCACAAGGATAAGAGAGAATAACCCAGTGTTGAGAGGGCATGATAAATATAAGGAAGAGCATTTGGGAGGGGGGCACCAACCGTCATCCTTGCATGTAGTCAAAGTGCCCAGGTCCCCTGGAGGGAGTACACCGAGACAAAACCAGATGAAATGAACCCACCCTGAGCCCCTGGGTGCTCACCGGAGGTGGCTGGTGTCACCATAACTGAGGCAGCGCTTGGGGGGACTGGGAGGATGCTGAGAGGGTGCTTGAGGGCGAGGGAACGTCTGGGATTGAGAGGCTGAGTCAGCTGAAGGAGTGGGGCTGGCTGAAGGGGCATCTGAGGGAGGGACAAGGCTGTCAGCCTGGGCCTTCATGTAGCATTTTCACCACCACAGCTCCCCTGCCCTCACCCCAGTGTGCTCACTCTCTCCACCCACTTTGTACCTGAGGGCCTTAGAGCATGTCGCAGGGAGCTGGGGCTGCGGCTCCGCTTCCCAGGCTGCAGGAAGGGGTCCCCCAGCAGAGCTTGAGCACTGGCTCGGAGGCGGGGGTCTGGCTCAAAAGTTTGGAGGAGGAAGGCTTGAGCCTCAGCTGACAGAGAACTGGGCATTGGTGGATGCACCTTGTACATGCCCACCTGGGAGGGGGGCAGGGAGGGGAAACAAGGGACAAGTTTAGAGGTGTTCAGGGCCCAGACTGTCCCCACTCCACCTCATGAGCCAGGCCCTAAGGGTTCTCACCTGAAACATGGCAGCCTGTGGGCTCCCTAGCTCATGGAATGGTGGGCGACCTGTGGCCATCTCGATTACAGTGCAGCCCAGTGACCAGATGTCCGCCGCCTTCCCATACCCTCGTGGGCCCTGGTCAATGATTTCTGGGGCCATATACTGTAGGGTCCCTAGGACAGGAGCAGTAGCAATAATGCTCATCTAGGCTTTGTCACTGTTGGAGTGGCAGGGCCTCTCTCATCCTCCAGTCACCTGCTCCCACCCTGAACTCTATCATCCAAAACAGTTTCTGCTACCAGCCCTGGTCATTAAGCATCTATCCTGAGTTTCCTCATTCATTTTAGGTTCCATCTCATTCCTGGGCTCCATCACCCAGAGTAGGTGCCGCCATCTGTCCTGGGCTGCATCATCCACTCTGAACTCTGACTCACATCAACACTTCTGGGCTCCATTTCAGGCACTAAACTCAACATCATCAGCTACCTAAGCTGCAGTTCTGGAGTCTATCACCTCACCCCTGGCTCAATCACCTGCCCTGGGTTCCACACCACCCTCCTCATTAGGACTCTAACTCCATGCCCAGGAGAAACGCCACTCCCTGGAGCACCCCAAGAGTTCTCTGTCCCATGTCAGCAACCCCACTCACCACCCTACACCCTGTTACCTGTGAAGGTCTCAGTGCAGGGTGTGATGCCTGCTAGCCGCTTGGAGGTGCCAAAGTCAGAAATCTTGAGCAGCCCACTGAAGGTGTTGATCAGCACATTGTCCCCCTTAGGAGAGTGGACACTGTGATCAGCGGACATCAGGCTGGGCTCCTGGACCCTATCCTGAGATCTCATCTCTTGGGAACCCCAGCCTGACACTGCCTCTATCAGTCTCCTCCCCCTGCCATCCCACTACTGCCCCTCTGGGAGCTGGCTTCAGATCTAAACGTCTCCCCTTCTCTAGGGAACCTCCCTGATGAATTTCCCACCCTTTGCAAAGAGTCTGCCCACTTAGTCTAAACTGCCAGCCTCTGTCTGGAGCTGTATCTCTCCCTCCCCCCTTGTCCTCCCCAACCCCAGCAAGCTAGAGTGGGCCAGCTACAGGCTGACCTTGATGTCTCTATGCACAATGTGGTTGTCATGCAGGTAGCTGAGTCCCTGCAGGATCTGGCGGGTGTAGAAACTGATAGTGCTTTCGTTGTCCTGCAGGGGTCCCCACACTGAGCGCAGCAAGGAGGACAAGCTGCCTGGGCAAATGCAGTTCAAGGTCATTGTTGGCACCCACCTACTCCAGCCGACGACTCTCTGCTCAAGGCCCAGGCATACTAATGCCATGGCCTAGACGCCATTACCCAACCTCCAGGTGTCAGCTAATTGTGGGCTACACCACCCACACAAGCTAGGGTTCATTCTCCCAAAGGGGACTCCACCCCCATGCCCCACAACTCCAGTTCCATTCCCATCCCACGCAAGGCAGGTACCTCCAGGCACTTCCTCCATGAAGATCTTGAGGTAGCCGCCCTGACTGGCTGAGCCCA